AGACATACCTTGTGAGTCTGAGGCCAGGTCTTTACTACAGACCTGTATTGAACACCCCTGAGTGACAACATTATACCGACCTAACCCCAGGCGTAGACAGAACTGTGACAGTAGGACAGCTTCTCCCATCAACGTAGCTATTGCCTCTCACGAAAGTGGATTAACTACGCTGACGGGAGAAGCTCTTGCGGTTGGCATAGTAGCAGCTTCACTAAAGCACTACAGTGGCACAGCTGCACCAGTGCAGCACTGAAATGAAGGCAAGCCCTGAGGGGCAGCTGCTGGGGCTGGGACAAAGGTCACAGCTGGTGGTGAATAAACAGATTCTGGATTGTGCAGGTAAATTGGGGGAAATGAAGAAATACTGAGGGGAGAGTGAAGAAGAGGATGAACAGAAAATGAGGGGAGCAAGAGAAATGTGGAGGAAAGGAGTGAGAGGACGGAAGCCAGGGAGAGATGCAGAGAGAATGAGATGTAGAGAAAGGTGAAGGGCTGGTAGGGAGATATGGAGGGGAAGGAGGACTAGGAGAGCAGACAGCTTGGTCCCACTCCTTCTCTGATTTTATTTATTCCTTCCACAGGGCCATCCTGGAGAAGGAAGGAATCCGCTCCCTCTTCCGAGGCCTGGGTCCCAACCTTGTTGGAGTCGCCCCCTCCAGGTAAGAATCACTCAGTGAGGATATTCTCCCTCCTCCTTCCCCCCCCCCCCCCCCCATGGGTCTCGCTAGGGTGCACTCTCCTAGGGTCCTACCAGTCACTGCCCCACCTCCCCACAATGTCCAGGCCCCGGATACAGTGCAGTCTCTGGCACCTCCATGGGGAGATTCAATGGAGGCCCCTCACCATGCCTTCTGAGGCTCGGGGTGACACCTGGTGTCCACGTGTGGCTGTTGTATGACATATCCTCAGTGCAGGGTCTGTCTGGGGTAAGTTATGTAGAAACAAGGGCCCTTCATGCTTCAGTTGCTCCTTTCAGGTGGATTGCTACTGCACGTGTATGTCTCTTCCCCAACCAGGGCCATCTATTTTGCTGCCTATGCTGGGGCTAAGGAGAAGCTCAATGTTGTCTTCGTACCCGAGTCCAAGAAAGTTCATATGCTCTCAGCAGTCTGTGCAGGTGAGCTTCTCCCATGCCATATTAGACCAGAGGGCCCATTCAGCCTGGGATCCCTGTAAACATGAGGGGATTTGACCATCTGGTGTCACTGTTCAGGCCATTCTCATTCACATAATCACCTCATTTCTTTGTTAGCCCTTCTGAAGCTCTTTCTCCCACCCCATCCTGCTGCAGCAGCTTCCCAGGTCAGTGAAATACAACAGAAACAATCTCTCTCTTAATTCACCTGAAGTCGCTGTTCAGTGTCAATGATCTAGGCCTTACCCCAGTGATACTCAGACCTCAGTGAGGTTCAGGAGCCAAATTAGCGATCAACATTACCCAAAAAAGCCACTTCATCATTTCATTTACTATAGTGCTGTAGATTCATATTTAAACAGTATGATGGGAAATATTTAGTTTTTGTAAGATAGATATAATTCTCACAGCAAAATGAGTGACCCAGTATTATTATTTCATCGACCACAATTGGTTAATAACCTAGTAAAAGCATCCTGATTGGTTAATAATTAAATCAGTGTTTTAATATCATGCGCTGCAAAGAGCTGCAGGAGACCCTACAGTGCCACTTGTGGCTCTCAAGCCTCAGTCTGAGTATCACTACATTAGCTCTTTGATTGCCTTGGGAAACAGGGCTCCCTACTGGGGAGCCAGGTAACTTAATCCCCACACACAACCTCAGCAGTCTCACTGCCTTTCCTGCTTCTGTTGTCTTCCCTTTCTCTAATGAGACCCTCCATTCTCAGCAAGTCTCATTGTTTCCTGCCTCTCATTCCAGGTTCAGCCTCCTTCTTTCTGGTTCCAGGCACCAGGGGTGGGGGGAAATGAGGCTATAATGAAAGGTTTATGAGATTCATAGATTCCAAGGCCAGAAGGGACCATTGTGATCATCTCATCTGACCTCCTGCGTAACACAGGCCAGAATGTCCCCAAAATAATTCCTAGAACACATATTTTAGAAAAAACGTCCCATCTTGATTTAAAAATGGTCAGTGATGGAGAATTCACCAGGACCTCTAAATTGTTCCAGTGGTTAATTACCCTCATGGTTATTACACCTTATTTGCCATCTGAATTTGTCTAGCTTCAATTTATAGCCATTGGACCTTTCTCTGCCAGACTGAGGAGCCCATTATGAAATATTTGTTCCCTATGTAGATACTTATAAACTGTGATCAAGTCACCCTCAACCTACTCTTCGTTAAGTTTATCAGATTGAGCTCCTTGGATCACTCACTGTAAAACAAGTTTTCTAATCCTTTAATCGTTCTCCTGGCTCTTCTCTGAGCACGCTCCAATTTAATTGGACACCAGAGCAGGACACAGTATTCCAGCTGTGGTTGCACCAGTGTCAAATACAAAGGTGTGCATAGGAGGGGTGGCTCCCAGTAAGGGGAAGCAGAGCCAAACAGGCTTCACCTTAGAACTCTTCACTTCCAAGGGACCCCCAAACTATGCCCAAATTGGTAAACCGCTGCAGATTAACTATGATTAAAAGAGCTAACCTACCAGTAACTCCCCACAAACTGTGTAGCCCTACTCTGGTACCTGTCATGACCTCTGACCTTCTACTTCCTAGGGGTCACCTCTGCCACACTTACCAATCCCATTTGGCTGGTGAAAACCAGGATGCAGCTGGAAGCCAGGTAAGGAAGGTAGCGCATGCACACAGACTGCATGGGGCTGGGGGTGACCCACTGACAAGAATGTGTGCTTTCAGGACACTGGAAAAGTAGCAGTTATTAGTAATCTTCCAAACGCAGCTGCGAGGTACCCAGGCCAGGAATAACAAGGGGTATGTGTGTTTTGGCAGGGGTGGGGGATGTGCTATTGATCAGTATTCAGGGGCAGTGGCAGAGTTGTGTGTGGGTGATTCTAATCCCCCCTTGGTTTCTGCAGGGCAAGTGGGGAGAAGCACAGTAATGCTCTCCAGTGTGCCATACGAGTGTACCGCACTGAGGGCTTGCGGGGATTTTACCGTGGAATCAGTGCCTCCTATGCTGGAGTCTCCGAGACCGTCATTCATTTTGTCATCTATGAGGCGCTGAAACAACAGCTGAGGGAGCAGCAGCCATTCCTCCCAACAGCCTTTGCCCTTGCACCGAACAGCCGTGATTTCTTTGGACTCATGGCAGCTGCTGCCATCTCCAAGACATGTGCCTCATGTATTGCGTACCCACATGGTGAGCAGCTCCATCCTCCCCTCCACCACCCTCCTGCTGGGAGAGGCCTGGCTTGGAGGGTGACTCTGCTAACATCCCATCCCTTTGTTTTCTCAGAGGTTGTCCGGACACGGCTGCGGGAAGAAGGGTCCCGCTATCGCTCCTTTGTGCAGACCCTGCGGCTGGTGGTCCAAGAAGAGGGACCCCTGGCTCTGTACCGAGGACTCCTGGCCCAGATGATGCGCCAGATCCCCAACACAGCTATCATGATGGCTACCTATGAACTGATCATCCACTTGGCTACCAAAGTGTGACCTTGAACAAATGCACCAGACCCTTGTTGAGGCTGCTGGCTGTGCACAGGAGAGCTAAAGTCTTGTGACTTGACATGTTTTTCCTGTTCCACAAGGTAGTGCTGTTCACTCCGTAGCAGGAGGCCAGTGTGGTGAAGACCTTGTGTGTGGCAGTCTACCATCTGCTGACAGGATGCAGTGCTCTCAGGCCAGAGCAGTGGTTCTGGATGGGGCGTGACCTCTAGCATAAACCTCCAGAAAGTGGTCAGATTCTCTGAGGTGGCAGTAAACCAGCTAGAATAGGTGCAGTGGGGGCTCCCAGTGCAAAGCACAAGGGCATGGAGTTCAGTGGGGAAAGAGATAAAAGAGGATAAATAATTATATAAAACAAATAAAATAAAGGGATGCAGGATGCCAATTAAGCAAGTGCATATTTCAGCCCTTCCAGTGTCCCCAGCTGGCCATCCCCATCACTAGAAAATACATGTATAGTTAACAGCCCCAGGAGCTCCACTCTTCTTGAGCCTGGCCTATGGACATAGCTGGACATGTAGTCAGTGGATAGGGAGAGTAAACAAATCTGCAGAAATCATGCAGCAAACAGAGATCTTGCGATAAGGCCTTCAGCTACTCTCTGGGATTCTGCACATAGTCAGGGTCTCTACATAGAGTCCTACCCCCTACACTGTCTTCTTTCAAAGGATTCTCCAAACATAACTGATAGCCATCCTAATGCATAGTACTTAGCAGGCATCTTACATCATCTCCTTAGGGGAGCAATCACCTGTGGAAAGAATCATACAGCTGAGTAATTAACTCTGCCTTTCTCTCCTCCTTAGAAGAGAGGCCAGGGCAGGGTGTTAGAACTCAGCCCCATGTATCAAGAGAAGCAGGATGCATCCTGGCAGGGGGAGCTCTGGCCAGGGCAGCTTGTGTTACTATAGGCCCCATCTATCCCTCTTTCAGGTCTGTTCTCTGCAGGGGCAGGGCCCAGCTCTGCCTTCCTCTGCTGGAGGTACTATGACATGAGGAACAGTAGATATAAAAAACAAGCTGGGTGCCTGGTGTGTGAAACATACTGTTTTGTGCCTGTGAATGTCATTTAGAGGGTGGATGCAGGTGTTGAAGTTGAGGGATTTGTTAACACACTAAGTGTATAGAAAAAAATAAGACTATAAATTGAAAACATCAGATCTGTATCTGAGGGACTAATCCCACAACCTCCTTGAACCCACTGCAGGAGGACCAGACTGCCTAAAACTAAGGCCCTGCCTTGGACAAAATGCCTCTGGTTTTCAGCTACCTCAATGGAGGTTTGGAAAATCATGCCATTTTGCCAGTCAAGAGAGCTTATAGGGCTAACTGCTGCCCTTCAAGCACCCACTCTAGCCCTTGCCTCTCAGAATGAAGAATCCCAGAGGCCTTGAGTCTGTTTCTTTTAAATCCTTTTATTTTAAAATCCACCTCGTTCCCTCCTTCCTTCACTCATTTAGGGTTATTGACAATTTTACAAAGCAACACAAGCTGCAGGGGTGTTTTTTTGTTTTGTTTTGCATCAGACAAGAATAAACCTCAAATGACAACATTGAAAAAATATACAATATGTATATAATATGTGGGGGCCTGCAGCTGACTCCGTTTTCCCAACCCTTGCTGATGAGTGTTTCCTTCTTCCCTGCTCCTCCTAAGCGTGCCACTCCCTTCAGATAGGTCCCTATACTATCCCATCCTCAGGAGGGGGACCTAATGTTAGGGAGTATGGGCAAAGAGCCCATGGCCCATGTTGTGTTCCTGGAGCACTATGGGGAAGAAGAGAGGGGTTAAGAGTAGAAAGTGCCCTCCCCCTAGGCACTACTCCCCTAATGAAAATAGCAGAGAAAGAGGAAACAGGCAAGAGAAATTAGGGGGTGGGTGGGAAAAGTGTGTATTTGTATACACCAGAGGAGAGAGAAAAAGGGGAAGAGGGCAGTGAACTGCTCAGGCTGGGGAATCTATCTGGTTAGCATCCTCGCTTCCCTCCTCCCACAGCACAGGGCTCCTAGTAGCAGCAGTGGCCATCTCTTTTGCCCACGATGCGCTGGTCATCTCCATCATCGCTGCCTGGGGTGTCCGGTGTGTCTGAGTCACTGCTGTCATCATTCTCCTCCTCCTCCTCCTCCACTTCCTCTACAGCTCTGGTCTCCCCACTCTCTGCTGCCCTCTCCTGGCAGCTTTGGTATGACTGGGGAGAAGACAGATTCATAGACTTTAAGGTCAGAAGGGACCATTATGATCATCTAGTCTGACCTCCTGCACAACGCAGGCCACAGAATCACACCCACCCACTCCTATAACAAACCCCTAACCTGTGCCTGTGTTATTGAAGTCCTCAAATCGTGGTTTAAAGACCTCAAGGTGCAGAGAATCCTCCAGCAAGTGACCCGTGCCCCACACTGCAGAGGAAGGCGAAAAACCTCCAGGGCCTCTGCCAATCTGCCCTGGAGGAAAATTCCTTCCCGACCCCAAATATGGCGATCAGTTAAACCCTGAGCAAGTGGGCAAGACTCACCAGCCAGCACCCAGGAAAGAATTCTCTGTAGTAACTCAGATCCCACCCCATCTAACATCCCATTACAGACCATGGGGCATATTTACCTGTTAATAATCAAAGAGCCTAATTTTGGCAATTAATTGATATCCCATCATACCATCCCCTCCATAAACTTATCAAGCTTAGTCTTGAAGCCAGATATGTCTTTTGCCTCCACTACGCCCCTTGGAAGGCTGTTCCAGAACTTCACGCCTATAATGGTTAGAAACCGTCTAATTTCAAGTCTAAACTTCCTAATGACCATTTTATATCCATTTGTTCTTGTGTCCACATTGGTACTAAGCTTAAATAATTCCTCTCCCTCCCTGATATTTATCCCTCTGATATATTTATAAAGAGCAATCATATCTCCCCTCAGCCTTCTTTTGGTTAGGCTAAACAAGCCAAGCTCTTTGAGTCTCCTTTCATAAGACAGGTTTTCCATTCCTTGGATCATCCTAGTAGCCCTTCTCTGTAGCTGTTCCAGTTTGAATTCGTCCTTCTTAAACATGGGAGACCAGAACTGCACACAATATTCCAGATGAGGTCTCACCAGTGCCTTGTATAACGGTACTAACACCTCCTTATTTTTACTGGAAATAAATCCCAAGACCGCATTTGCTTTTTTAATGGCCATATCACATTGACGGCTCATAGTCATCCTGTGATCAACCAATACTCCGAGGTCCTTCTCCTCCTCTGTTACTTCCAACTGATGTGTCCCCAATTTATAACCAAAATTCTTGTTATTAATCCCTAAATGCATGACCTTGCACTTTTCACTATTAAATTTCATCCTATTATTATTACTCCAGTTTACAAGGTCATCCAGATCTTCCTGTATGATATCCCGGTCCTTCTCTGTATTAGCAATACCTCCTAGCTTTGTGTCATCCGCAAACTTTATTAGCACATTCCCACTTTTTGTGCCAAGATCAGTAATAAAAAGATTAAATAAGATTAGTCCCAAAACTGATCCCTGAGGAACTCCTTCCAGCCTGACAGTTCACCTTTCAGTATGACCAGTTGTAGTCTCCCCTTTAACCAGTTCCTTATCCACCTTTCAGTTTTCATATTGATCCCCATCTTTTCCAATTTAGCTAATAATTCCCTATGTGGAACCATATCAAATGCCTTTCTGAAATCAAGGTAAATTAGATCCACTGCATTTCCTTTGTCTTAAAAAAATCTGTTACCTTCTCAAAGAAGGAGATCAGGTTGGTTTGGCACGATCTATCTTTTGTAAAACCATGTTGTATTTTGAGCCAATTACCATTGACCTCAATGTCCTTAACTATTTTCTCCTTCAAACATTTTTCCAAGACCTTGCATACTACAGATGTCAAACTAACAGGCCTATAGTTACTCGGATCACTTTTTTTCCCTTTCTTAAAAATAGTTAGCAATTCTCCAGTCGTACGGTACAACCCCTGAGTTTACTGATTCATTAAAAATTCTTGCTAACGGGCTTGCAATTTCATGTGCCAGTTCCTTTAATATTCTTGGATGAAGATTAATTATTATTTGTTTTCTTCTTATTTATATGGCTATAGAAACTTTTACTATTGGTTTTAATTCCCTTTGCAAGGTCCAACTCTACATGGCTTTTGGCCTCTCTCACTTTCATAGAATCATAGATTATAGGACTGGAAGGGACCTCGAGAGGTCATCGAGTCCAGTCCCCTGCCCGCATGGCAGGACCAAATACTGTCTAGACCATCCCTGATAGACATTTATCTAACCTACTCTTAAATATCTCCAGAGATGGAGATTCCACAACCTCCCTAGGCAATTTATTCCA